AGGAGAAGCGCCTGCTGTCCAGCTGTATTGTAACAGTTGGCCCTACTTGAACGTTTCCGTCAACACAAACGGTGAAGCCGCGAGTCGATTCATCACCGTGATGTATTTCACTTGCCGTATCTTCACAGCTCCCAGAACTCCCGCGGCCCGGACAGTGATTACAGCTGGATTGCGTGGCTTGGCTTGTGGTCTTGGTATCTTCTTCTGGATGTACCTGTTGTTGCCCAGTGGTTCTTGGGGGTGGGGTGGGGGTTGTAACAACATTTTTTTATAGGAGGCTTTCAGGACCTCCCCCCATTCAAATCATGTTTGGTACACTTGTTGATTGCTGCAGATCTCTCAAGACACTACAGCTTACTCTTCACACGGTGCTAAGCCATCTGCCCATTTTCCAGTGGATCTGGCGTCACTAGCGTTTCCTTCACCTCTTGTTGCAGACGGCGCCAGCGCTCTATGGACCACTCCGTTAAAGAGACCAGAAGTAGGTGGTTGCGTCTTCCGTTTTGACAGGTCACAGCTGTGTTTTCACCTGCATATTCCGAGTGCTTTCAGAAACGCAGTCTGACTCTGGCTGGACAGTTGTCTGGTTTGTAGATTCACACATGCGATGCTTCTGGATTAAATGCACATTGAGACTAGTGCCGAGACCAGCAAACGTTTCTTCTCCTAAATTTCCAGAATATAGACATTCTTACTAGAAGCACATTGGCTGGAAGACGTCTTGGGAACACTAAGGTGCTGGATGCATGTCAGCAGGTGTACAGCTATACTAAATGACAGCTTGTTTTGCTGAATCAGCGGTACATTTCTCATGAAATGGGTTTATTTGTCTTATTTGCTTTTGACGATTTTTCTTGCCTTGAGCTCGGATGCTCAGATCATTCAATTGCATTTTTTTTTTTTTACTGCCTTTCCTTACAGCTATTTTTCTCCCTAGAGCTGTGTTCTGGGTTTTCAGGTCCTTTTTTTCCCCCTTGTTTCCCGAAAGACAAATCTGATGTTTGTTTCTGAGTCAGGGGAAGTGTGCTGTAAGCCGCAAGAGGCTGTGTGCCAGAGCGCCCAGTGTTTAGTATGATTCATGATGAGCAGTTTTGCTGAGGCATTGAAGAAGTACATCCTGCGTTTTACATTTTTATCCAGTAAACCTCGGCGCGTCACGGAGCACAGGGTCGGGCGCCCAGCACAGAAGAAATTACTTTTCTTGTGCAGAGAAGCCTTCTCCGAGCCGGGAGACAGGGGAAACAAGGTGTGATTAATTCCTCTATAACAATGTTCTATTTCGGCTTCTCCGCCGAGGAGTAACCCCAAAAGAACTGGAAGGCGACCTAAAATAGCATTGTGTTTCTGCCCTGTTGTTCGCGTCGATGGCAGATTGGCAGGCGCAACATTTCAGGTGAGGCCTCGCGTCCCGCCAGGACCCTCAGTCCGCTGCGAGGCCCTGCCCCTCTAGAGATCCCTAAAGATCAACTGACATGGAGGCATTGATCTGCCTGTTTTCGCCAAGCGGATCCGATACTCAGCCGATCAATCTCCCCAGTTTACTAAGAAGGATTAGTGGCTTTACCACAACAGCGTCAGCTATCGGCTCCCGGTGATTAAACCGTGGGGGATGCTTCATGATATCCCAGGCCTCCCTTTTCAGCTCTGCCCAGGGCCCTGGAGTGCTCAAGGCTGAAGTGAGGGTGGGGCTGCCACACTGAGGTAGCCAAGGACAAGCACAGCTCTAAGGTTCCGAGCTCTGGACCTGAATGCCTCATCTGGGGCGCTGCGATGTTGCATTTCTCTCCTTCCTCCCCGGCCGTGACGGGTGAGCAGCGGTCTGCTGAATCACGAGGCTGCTGCCCTTTCCCGGGGGCTCCCCAGGGCGGCTCTTTCTGTTCCTTCTGCGTGCTGCCTGCCAGCCTGCCTGCCTGGGAGACCGCTGAGGCCAGAGGGGGCCGATCGATCCCGCGCAGCGCTGCAGGTGTCGCTCAGTTCCCAGACCAACACGCACGGCGAGGGGCGGTTTGCCGTCTGAGACCCGCTGCACAGCAGGGGGCACGCCGTTTCCTTGTGAGCGCGTTATCAGCTGTTTGCTCAGCTGGGCCACAACAGGAAAAGCCACAGACAATAAGGAAGGGGTTTGTATTTAACGGTCCTCGACCTCAGATTGTGCAATAGTAATAGATCGTTCTTTAAAATGCCACACAGGTGCCTATTGAACACTTGCAGCCAGTTGTGCACATTATAGTCTGCGGCTCTCCCTGCTGACTAATGCATTACTAGGCGCCGCAGAACGTACAGATCCCGCAATCCCACCCTGCCGCGGCTACACGTCACTCAATTCGCTCGGTTCTTGCAGAGCAAGTTGTCATCTTCTCCTCACTTGTTTAATAGTAGGTTATTTGAGTCATCAATACATTATTTTAAATAAAAAAGTGGGATATGTGAGTCAGCAGGAGAGAGAGAGAGGGAGAAAATATATGCCTCTTTTATTATGACTCACAGCTACATTACTAATCCAAACTTCTAATAAATGAATTATTTAATACTGGAATGCAGTTTGTTCCAATGCATTTGAGATTTTTTTTTTTTTGAGGGAGCAAGGGGTATTTTTAGATCAAGGTCAAAGGGCACCTCTTCAAACGCGTTTTAGCATGATGCCCCATTGCCTTAAAGAGCGCACCAGCTGCCCGGTACTCCAACAAGCAGCCCTGACGCGTGAAACAGACGCGCTGTTGTTGAGTGTGTCTCCCCCCCAACCCCCTGGACTTCTCCAGTTTGCAGCTCTCCCGGTGTTAACTGAAGCGTTTCAATTTGCAGCCAGAAGCGCGTGTTGGCGACCCTGAAGTTCCGATGCAACGTGCGTTTTGACGGGTTTTTTTTTTTTTTTTGGTCCCCGAAACTGGTTGAGAGGGAAGAGCGTGCTGCAGTGAAGATTTTTTTTTGTGTGTGTGTCTTACACACGGTTCGTATCTCCGCGGAATCATTTCCATCCATAAATTACATCCCGCGAATCCCAGCCCCCTTTTCCTTCCCCGTGCAAGTCGAGAGGCTAATTAGCAGTAAAACAATGGAGCCGGCTAAGCTGATTGTTAATGGCAGTCACAAGGGCTTTACTTCAGTCACACTCTAGGTGTGGATCCACATTGCGGCTTAATTTGCTTTCCCTTCATGTTTTAACTGGCAAGCGAAGCAGGCTTTGATTGACGGCCCGTTCTTCTCCTGCAGCACAGAGCTGGTATTTTGGAGCACATTCCTACTGTAACAGAGGCCCTACGTGTCTTCAGCTAATCGATACGGTGCCAAGGGCGTGAGAAGAGG